AGGGGAAGATTAAGAATAATAATAAAAAGGACAGAAGCATTAATAACATTAGTTATTTTAAAACAGACAAATACAAGCAACTAATCACCAGAAAAAAGAAAATGAAAAAGAAAAAAAATAAAAATAAAAAAAGAGAAAACAGGAAAAAAATCAGTGGAGGACAGGGCAGGGCACCCAGGCTCTGTCTGAGCACACAGACTGTGATGGAGTTCTTGTGGGCCCAGAAGGTAGGTGGTAGTGGAGATGGCCACACCTCCATTCACCAAGCAGATGTAGGGTATAAGAGTAACAAAAAGAATGTCGTACCTTTTCAGTCTTGCAGGCCCCGAGTGTCCTTGGGATTGCTGGAAAGTAGAACGTGTTCTTAAGCCCCTGGAATCTACGAGAGCACTGTCTCTAAATATCCAAAATAGTCAAGCCGCTTTTTAACCCTTCAAAAAGGTGACGCCCTCCGGACCAGCAAAAGTCCACAGTTCAGCCCACCTTTCTCTTCACCTTCTCCGTTTGTTCCCCAGCCACTGTGCACAGTCCTCCGTACAGTTCCTGGTTAGCAGGGTGATTTTTAGGTTAATTCTTAGGTCCTACCAGCACTCGGGAATCTCCAAGCTGTCTGTGCCATCAGGATAGCTCAGGATCGCTGCCAGACCACAGCTCCGTATGTCTCCTTTTTTGGTATTTTCATGCAATTCTTCTGCTAGTTGGGGTTTAGTCCACTTCTGTATCTTTCCCTTCAATGCTCAGGGGTCCAGGATTATCTTCTGTTTCTGTGTTAATTGGTTTCCCTTTTCTTTGTTTAAGAGGGTCTGTGTAGTCTTTCTGCCTAGTCCGCCATATTGCCGGAACCTCGGTTCGCAGGTTCTTCATTATTCTTTAATGTAGCATAGTATTCCATTGTGTGTACGGACCACAGTTTGGTTATCCATTCATCTGTTGATGGGCACTTAGGTTGTTCCCACCTCCGTGCTATTGTGTATACTGGTGCAATGCACATGTGTGTGCATATTTGTGTTCGTGTCCTGGTTCTCACTTCTTTAGCAATCCCTAGTAGGGGGATTTCTGGATCAAATGGTATTTCCATTTGCAACTTTTTAATGAAGTGCCATACACTGTTTTACACAGCGATTGTACCATTTTACAATCCCACCAGGAGTATCTGAGAGTTCCAATCCGATAGAGACTTTCCTTATAGCTCTCTTCATTTCCCCTGTGCCCTTACCAGAATTGCTTTTGATGTTCTTAATTCTACCAACAGTCTCTTCAAGGCAATCTAGGTTTTTACTATTGTTGTTGTTGTTATGTGCCATCGAGTCAGACCCGACTCATAGCGACCCCTCCCTGGGTTTCCAAGGCAGTATCACTATGAAAGTAGATTGCCCTCATCTTTCTTCCGAGGAGTGACTGGTGGGTTTGAACCACCAGCCTTCTTGATAGCAGTCAAGTGCCTTTGGCACTACACTACCAGAGCTCCCTATTAGACACCTTAAAACTCTTCCAGCCTCCACCCATTCCCCAATTCCAAAACCACATCTACATTGCAGGTATGTTTTAGCCTAGCACCCCCTACTTCCAATAGTAAATTCTGTTTTATTTAGTTCCGCTGTAACAGAAATATCACAAGTGGGTAGCTTTAATGAAGAGAAATTTATTTTCTCACAGGTTAGGAGGCTAGAAGTTCAAATTTCGAGTGTCGGCTCTAGGGGCACAGGCGCCCTCTCTCTTGGCTCTGGGGAAGGCCCCTGCTCCTTGGCTCTTTGGTGTGGTATCTATATTCCTTTATCTCTGCTTGTTTAATCTGCTCCTTTTATGTCTCGTAAGACACTGACTCAAAATACACCCTACCCTAATCCAGTCTCATTAACATTAACAAGGACAACTCCTTCCCAAATGGGATTATGCATGGAGGTTAAGATTTACAACATGTATTTTGAGGAGGACACACTTCAAACCATCACACCAACTCTTTATTGACCTAAGTTCTTTTCCAGCTACCACCCCAACTCTCGGCTGCTTTTTTAATAGCAGAACTCTTCGAAAGAGTTGCCTATACTTACTGTATCCACATCAACAAGTGCTGGCATTCAACCCATAACATATATCCCCACATTAGTTTCTTTTCCACATTCTCCATTGGGCCCAAGTACCCAAGTACATGTGGTTGTGACACAGTGACCCCCAGTGGGTTTCCAAGGCTGTAAATATTCACGGGAGGAGACTAGTCACCGTCACCTCTTGTCTAGCCTGCTACCAACGCCTTCTAACTGGCCTTCCTGCCTCCATTTAGTCTAGTTTCAACACAGTATCCAACACATATTTTTGAAACAAATTAGAACACAGGACTGTTTTGCTGAAAACCCTAAACATTCCCTTCTATGGCCTGGCAAGTTGTCACCACCAATTCTTTCATTTGCTCACCATGTTGTAGTCATACTCTTCCTCAATTGCTCCTCAAATGTGACAAGCATATTCCATTTTGTGCTTGCTATTCTCTCTGCCAGGAGCTCTGGTAACATAGTGCCTAAAGCACTGGACTGCTAACCAGAAGGCTGGTGGCTCAAATCCACCAGCCACTCCTTGGAAGGAAGGCTGGGCAATCTACTTCCGTAGTGATTCTGCCTCAGAAACCCAAGTGGGGGTCGCTATGAGTCGAGTCCAAGTCAACATACCAGCAACAACATTTTCTCTGCCTGAGTACTGCCTCCAGCGATCCTTCCAGGGTTTGCTCCCTCTTTCCACTTGGGTCTCTGGTTCAAATACATCCAACCTCCTTAACAGGTCTTTTATCTAAAAGTACTCCTCTCTCTCTATATATATATCCTTGTTTTTATTTTTAGTACTTATCACAATAATATTATTGTGATATGTGCCATCGAGTCGGACCCAACTCATAACGACCCCTCCTTGGGTTTCTGAGGCAGTATCACTATGGAATTAGATTGTCCAACCTTCCTTCCAAGGAATGGCTGGTGGGTTTGAACCGCCAGCCTTCTGGTTAGCAGTCAAGTGCCTTAGGCACTATGCTAGCAGAGCTCCTAGTAATATTATAGTCTATATTTATTTGCTTGTTTATTTTTGCCTTCTCCACTTGGATGCAAGTTTTATGATGGCAGATACTTTCTTACTCAAATAAGTATTTGTTACCAGCGACTAGAATTTTCTGCACATAGTGAATACTCTGGGTTTACTGAATGAATGTATGTAAAACAAATGAATGAAAACAACATTCAAAAGGTATCTGGTGCCTACAAAATCAATTTAAAGAATAGTAGTTCCATCTCCTCACCATGAAAAGTTGCCCAGTCATCTGATTTTCAATTCCTTTTCTTGCTCTTTTCAACACAAAATATAATCAAACATTGAAGTTGTTTAAAAAAAAAAGCAAAAAACTATCAAGGTAGAAAGAAGTAGCATCAGAGCTTGAAAGAAAAAAGCACCAACTGGATATTACCACTAATAATCAACATGTTTATAAGTGGAAACATATAACACAAAGATAGGCATATACTCAGAATTGGAGAAAATACCATAAAGATGGGAGCTCTGGTACTTGACTGCTAACCAGAAGGCTGGCAGTTCAAATCTATTAGCCACTCCTTGGAAGGAAGGTTGGGCAATCTGCTTCGTAGTGATATCGCCTTGGAAACCCAAGGAGCGGTTGCTATGAGTCAGGTCTGACTCAACGGCACATAACAACAACAATACGTAACACCAGAAAGATAATTTGAAGTTTTGAGAGAAGGAACAACAAGTCACATATTACTAATATTATTCTGCACTCTGTACTTCAAGAATGCAAGGAAAGTTTACTTTGTCTAACGTATTCAAATTCTTTGCTTTATGATGAGAAGGTTCATTTGCATTCCATTTTTCCAAAGACATAGAAAACAATAACTTTAAGAAAGGTCAACCAGACATTCTTGATACTAGAATGTATTTAGTATATGCATACTCACTGCCATCAAGTCAATTCTGACTCCCAGTGACCCCCACTGGGTTTCCAAGGCTGTACATCTTTACAGGAGTAGATTGCTCCATCTTCATTCCATGGAGTGGCTGGTGGCTTTGAATTGCTGACCTTGTGGTTAGCAGTCAAATGCCTTATCCACTGTGCCACCAGAGCTCCTAGTATACAGCCATATAATTTTTCAAGGCTTTTTGTGTCGATTACCTATGTTAACTGCAGTTTCTTGTTTATCTCCCGTCAAGACCCAAATTCTTATGTTTGCTTTCAGTAAAGCTGTGATGGTTTCTGGAACACGGGCTTGAAGGTGATCCTCAACGGCTGTGGCTCCAAGCAGCAGAAATTCCTAAATGTTTACCAAAAGAGGTATTTTTTTTTATTACTTATCAAAGTTAGAATATTTTCAAAGTTGAATAATAACAGTAAATTTTGACAAAAGATACACCATCTAATAGTTTATTCTGCAAAATCCCATATATGTGTACACACAAGCACACATACGCACACACACCCATACTTTATTTTCTATTCTTTTCCACTGGTGTATTTCTTTCTCTATATTTCACTGTATCATGAGTACAGAATTAGGGTTAACATCACCGTCTCTGGGATTAATGCTTTAACTCTACAATTTATTATAAAAAAACAACTCACTGCTGTTGAGTCATGTCCAACTCATAGCGACCCCTCCTTGGGTTTCCGAGGCAGTATCTCCACGGGAGTAGATTGCCCAACCCTCCTTCTGGGGAGTGGCTGGTGGGTTTGAACTGCCAGCCTTCTGGTTAGCAGTCAAATGCCTTAGGCACTATTTGATGCATTTCTACTTTGCATTAAATTATAGATTACATGAGGAGAACTACCACTTTTGTGTTACTGAAATTACTTAAAATTCCTCAATATTCTCATCTCTAAAGGGAGAAAAATAAGATTACGCTTAGGATTACTATGAGAGTTAACATATTTAAATGATTAGAATAATGCCTACAGATTATAAATACTCAATAAATATTAAATCTTACTTTAATTAGGGAGTTCTGGAGGTGCAGTGCCTAAGACATTTGGCTGCTAACCTGGAGGATGGTGGTTCAAATCCACCAGCCAGTCCATGGAAGGAAGATGAGGCAATCTACTTCCTTAAAGATTTATCGCCTTGGAAATTCAATGGGGGTAACTATGAGTTGGAATCAACTCAATGGCAGTAGGTTTGGTTATTATTATTATTATTACTTTAATTATAACTATTTTATAAATGCTGATGTTAGTCAAGTAAGCCACTTTTTAATTTTCTTCAATTATCTTGATAATTCTTAGGTTTCTCCCACTTTTATGTGAATATTAGGACAAACTTGTCAAGTTCTGTGAAAATCCTGCAGGAAATCTGATACATTTCGACTTTGTACTAAAACACAGATTACATGATGAGAACAGCCACTTTTATAATATTGAGTTTTTATAGCACACACACACACACACACATATGTTGTTGTTATGTGCCCTCAAGTTGGACCCGACTCATAGTGACCCCTCCTTGGGTATCCGAGGCAGTATCACTATGGAAGTAGATTGCTCAACCTTCCTTCCGAGGAGTGGCTGGTGGGTTTGAACTGCCAACCTTCTTGTTAGCAGTCAAGTGCCTTAGGCACTATGCTACCAGAGCTCCCATATGTGTATGTGTATGTATATATATATATATATATATAT